ACAAAAATGTCAGATTTTCGCAATGTTCAGCTATAATCCATATCAGCCTAAACAACAGATGTTCAGACTTGGGAGAAATCAGAAAAGTCCAACTCTAAATTGCCACCATATAAAAGATCAAAAGGGGAAAACACAAGACTAGGAAAGCCAAGAACCAGAAAGAAATGGTAGGGCAAACCTGGGAGGTCTAGTAGCCAGAGCAAGGGAAGAAGGCGATGAAGAAGAGGAAACAGCAACACTCTGTCCAGCTCCTCCGCCATTCGCATTTAAGCTTTCCACAGGGGAGAGCACCGAAGAAGATCTCTCGCCCGAACTTCTACGAACAACATTACGTAAACCTTCCATGCGTCCAATTCGATTTTGGGGGCTTTGGTGAAGATTCTCAGACTAATTTGTGAATCTACCCAGAAATAACAAAACCCTCGTCAAATAGCAGGCCCAAAAACCGATTTTATTTCAATAATAGACCAAGTGCTAAGAACATTTTATACATAATATGATTAGCCTGTGTTATTTTTTTCCCCCCTGCCAACAGCCTGTGGTATTAATCATCAAATAATACATATTAAATTATTTAATCAACGCTTATTTAAACGAATTCTATTCGAGAATCAAAACAAATCAAACAGCTAATCTATTTCTCCTCCAGATGGCACTCTTTTTTTTTTCTTTGACAAAACTGCTAAAGGATGATAATACTACTGTACGTATGAATTCATTTCTCATTCACCCTGTAATTTTCTTAAATCAATAGAGTGAGAATTTGTTGAACATTTAATATTAAACTAGAAATTTCTTTCCCGTGCATTTTACGGACTAAAATATTTGATTAAATTTTAAATTCTAATAAATTGTATTATTTAAGATAGCTCAAGCTTTTTTTTTTTTTTTATAGAAGTGTGTTTTTCTTTATTCCTTCATATTGTATTTGAATTGAAGATGTAGAATTTAGAGGAAACGTATAAAAATTTAAATTTATTTATTTATCTTTTCATTTAAACCCCAATTGACATATTATTTTGTGATACTTTTCATTTAATTTAATATATTCAAATTTCAATTAAGATATTATTAAAATTTAAAATTAATTATTAATTTCTTCATTTGAGTCTCTATTAAAATCTCATTTAATAATGATGCTCCTCGTTTAATTCAATATACCCAAATCCCCATCAAAATATTATTCAGATTTTATTATTAATTGAATATATTCGGATCTTATAATATCATATCCGACCCGTTTTAAGGAAATCAGATATTACAAGTTTTCAAGAATATAATTGATTAATTGATTGATGGTATTTACAAATTTTTTAGGAAAATATAGGGCAATAAGTATAAATAAAATCCAATATATCTCGGTTCAAAGAATATATCTTTCGAGCCAATGCCTAGGATGTCCCTCGCATGTTCAACGGTGGGCTAAATTTTGAAGTGAGTAGAGGTTGTTGTTGAGGTAGCTAATAGCTTTGTAAGTAAATGCCGAATCAGAATAGAGGTTGGGGCCAGCAATCGTCCACGCCAGAAAGCCAATCTCATCACATCCTTCCTCTCTCTCTCCAATAAGCTGTGACCCCTTCTTATCCCTCTCCCATTCTCAACGCCAAAGCCTTCTTCTGAGAGATCTCACTGTCAATCTCACTCATGGCTTCCCTCTCTGTTCCCAAGCACTCTCTTCCCACCTTGCTTCACACTGAAATTCCCGCACATTCATCTTCTCAAAGCCTCCCTTGTCTCCCCAGATCCTCCAATTCTCAGTTTTGTGGCCTTAAATTATCTCATTCCTCCACTCTGTCAATCCCTCCTCCTGCTTCTTACTCATCCATGAGAGGTTCCATTTTTGCTAAGGTACATTTTTTCATAAACAAGCCTGCCTGCCTCTTTCAGTGGTGTTTCTTCTAATTGATTAGAACCCACAAGTCTGCTTGTTTTGTGTTTGTGTTGTGTTTAAATTCGTTGACAGGTGAGTAAAGGTTCGAAGCCACCTCCGTTCACTCTGAAGGATCAGGATGGGAAACCTGTAAGCCTCAACAAATTCAAAGGAAAGCCCGTGGTTGTCTATTTCTACCCTGCTGATGAGACCCCTGGCTGTACCAAACAGGTAAACGTCCAACTTTTCCAACGTTCTTCATTCCTTCATCCAATGTAGCTTGTCTTTGCTCTTGTCCGGGCGCTGGAGATGCCAATTTAGAGTGGAAAGTACAAATGTATTTTTTTTCATTTTCTTCTTATGAGCATCACAATGACGGTCCTGCAATCATATTTATTCCAGGAAAACATATAATTCGTTTGAATCAGTAGTTTGACGCATTCTATAAGCTCAAGTTCAATGCTTGTGTGCGTTTCTAGAATGTGTGGAATACGATTACTCACGTATACAGTCTTGAATATTCTTGGAATAAGATTTGTAGAGTAGCCTTGTGCGTCTGTGCATACTTGCGTCTCATTGAAGACCCGAGAAAGGATAAAATAGCGACTGTCAAAAATTTCCTCTTCATGTAGAAAAATCCTTCTTCATCTTTCCAACAAAATTAGCATCCAATTATTTGAGGGAAAAAAAAAAAGTGTTGTAATGCTCTCAACTTCCACTATTTACCCATGTTGTATAGAAAATAAAAGGCACGCAGAAACAACAAGCTGTCCGCTAATAAAGTTTAGTACTCAAGATCATATCAGCAAAGCCGTTCCCAGAAGATAGTTGTTCGAAAGGGACAAGCTCCTTGTTGCTGGAAAAGGAAGAACTATGACATGATTATTACCCGCTAATAGTGAAATCTAGATTCATACACTTATGGTGCTTCACAATGTTGTTCTTCTAATTCAGTTTAGCTGCTGGACTTCCTTGCAATGCAGGCTTGTGCTTTCAGGGATTCTTATGAGAAATTTAAAAAAGCAGGTGCTGAGGTTATCGGGATTAGTGGTGATGATTCCTCCTCTCACAAGGTAAAGTTCAAAAATTTCGTTACCTTAGTTGGCATCCAATCCAACTGATTTTTATGCTGAACACGTCGTGTGGAATTTCTAGGCTTTTGCAAAGAAGTACAGACTTCCGTTTACTTTACTGAGTGACCAGGGTAACAAGGTGAGGAAAGAGTGGGGAGTGAAGGGCGATTTCTTTGGAGCATTGCCTGGGAGAGAAACCTACGTCCTTGACAAAAATGGGGTGGTTCAGCTCATCTACAACAACCAGTTCCAACCAGAAAAGCATATTGACGAGACTTTGAAACTACTTCAGAGCATTTGAGGCTTCCATTTTTTTTTTTTTTTGGTTCTTGTCTTGCTCAGCCTGTCTCAGAGCTAGCCAAGTACGCAACTACAAACTGTAATGTACTCGCCATGTAACTATAATAGTTATAGCTGATATTCTGGACTGTTTGTTCATAGGGAGATGAAAAGATGCTTCTTGTACTATCATGATTTTTGCTTTAGATAAGAAAGTAAGTTCACTTATAGTGTATTTCTCGGTGGATTTTGATACTTGAAATTGCAAGGTTCATCGTACATTGATATAAGTTGAAGATTTTATAACTACATTAGATTCCTGGAAGATGATCAGGAGTAGTGGCTGAACGACCTTCTTCTTTCCTGCCCCTCATTACTACGCACAACACATTATTTATCTTATCCTCCTAGTACTGCTAACGCATCCCCAAGTATAATTTTTTCAGTTCTCCTTCTTGTAGTCTCCACTGCCATAAAGGCCGAGTACTTCTGATATCCAGCTCATCTTCCTCCAAGAACTCCACCCCATGTCTTCACATATTTCATCGCTGTGCTTGATGCTATAAGTTGAAATGCAGTGCCTTTTGTAGAATCTGGTAGACCTCTTCATCACTTCCATCTCCTGAAGTGTGTATGAAAGCATCTTCTCAATGCTTGGAAGCTTGAACTTATCGTCTACCAGTTGAGAGAGCCACATGGAACGTAGCTCGGATGAGCGAAGGTTTGCAACGCTTTCAACGTAACCCACAAAAGCCATGTTTGGAATCAATGGATGAATAGTTCCCCTGCCAAAGAGATTGACTCAAACATTAGTTCTCAGTTCTTTTTCTGTAGATTCTAAAGCTTGTGTTGACATGAATATCAAGATGCAATTGGAAGTGCTGTGTTGTGTCCGACAGGAGTATCAAGCAGGTGTCAAACACGTGACCTAGCTTTTGAAGTATTGAGCTTAAGAGAGGTTTGCTGTATAAACCACCCTTCTTACCTGTATAATGGCATAATTCCAGAAGGGTACTCCAAGAGGCTCCGAAAAGGCTCAGGCAAAATGGTCTTAATCTTCTTCTTCCCATCAAAGCCAGTGGCAAGAATCACCACATCAGCTTCCACTTTAGTGTTGTCTTCGAATTCAATTCCTCCATTCCAGAACCACCACCTGGATGCTTTTTTAAAGACAATCTTACCCTTATCAGCTTCAGGGAAGAATTTATCTGGCAATACAGCCATCTGACATGATGCATAGTCCTCCTCAAATGGGTGCTCTGGTTTTAGTCCATACTTCTCCAGAGGAAGCTTCCATAGTATGTAGGATTCAATGAATTTCGAAATCCCACGCCTCTGTTCAAGTTCATTAGGTAACAGTGAATCATTAGCTTCAACATTTTTTTAGAGCTGTATCCGTATCATGTGCTATATAGGTAATTCCATAGAGAGCATCAATTTTATAGAGGTGGAACTTTCGGAATCATGGTGAGAATCTCAAAATACTTTTAGCGGTGAAAATACCCACCGCCAGAAAAAGCTCTCGACAGAATCATCCTTATGTTACTATGAAACCGGATGATGTTAAATTACGTACCATGGGAGACAAGAGGAGACAGAGAAGGGTTTTGAGGAAGCCTTGGTTAGGTCTTTCATGAAGGAACTGAGAAGCTCTTGTAGAATAGAACAAGAAAAAAGGCAATCCCCAAATCCGGTAATGAGGAACCGTCCAATGCAGAGTCCTTACCACCATTGTGCAGGGCTGCCCTTCAGGTCCTAGAACAAGTCGGCAGAAAACTATTGTTATGATGTTGAAATTTGATAAACAGAAAGAACATGATGAACAACAAAACAACGATAGCAATTGTTCAGATGTAGTGACAATCTTTAGACGCGCGCCTTTTATTAGTACATTTTAGTCTCCGTTTTTGGCAATTTTGAAAAAAGAAAGTCAGCTGGTTTTTTTAATCAGTGATGCTACTTTAATTAAAGTTGATACTATATTAGTGCTATTACGTTAAATATGACTTGAATCACTTAAAGTGCTATAGTCACGTTAGAAATATATATTCAGCTTAATTAATTAGTGAAGGTTGTAAAATGAATAATTACGAAGCAAACACATGGACAAATATAAAAACATTGGAAATTCAAATACAAACCTTATGTCAACTCCTTTTATTTTTGGATTGAACCTTCTGACAACCCTTAATAAATGTGTTGACATGCGTGTGGCGGGCGAAGATAATATTAATGCCCCACCATAATTCCGAAAACAACATGCGTAAATTAAATCTCGCACCGTGATCAATTCAATATGAATGACTTATTGAGTTGACAATTCCATTGGTTTTAATTGGAAAGTTCCTCCAATAAATTCACCATCAAATCTGAGGTTGAATTTCATGAAAGCATCATGCAAAAAGCGAAGTCATTTGCTTGGATATTTTAGAACGTGCTTTCCTTTTAGTACAAGAAAAGAAATCGGTATGAGAGGCTAGCACATAAATTGAGCAAACTTAATTAGTCAAAGCCATATGGTTTTTGAATTTCTAGTGAAGCTTCTTGACAATAATAAATAAACAAATATTGTGGGGCGGGGGAAATTGCCGAGGATTTCGGCTATTCATTTATTCCTACGAACTTGATCATCTATTTTGATTGGCAAAAGGCAATACTAATAAATAGGATCGATGCATAATGAATATGAATTTTTAATTAAATCAAAGTATTAATTAAAATCTAAATTGTTCAGATAATCATGTTTTCCTTCTCTAAGTATATCATTTCTGTGGTTGATATCGAAAATTGGAATCTCCCAGTCAAACCCTTTTTCATAAATTAATCCATATGCATATATATGGCTTATATAATAATTTTCAAAGTCAAATATGATTTTTGGAATTCTAAATTATGTGAAGGAGTCCAATATGATACCAAATAAATGAAAGAAAGCAAGTTTTTGGAGTCAACAAGTCAATGCATCTTCTCATATGCAATCAAACCATGCAAATTATGACTTGGAAAATAGAAAAGTCCATATGTAACCCCAGCTAATAACATCCCAAAGACCATGAAGAAACCAATGATCATACATTATTACATTATTCAAGTAATTAATCTCCAAGTAAATTATGTTCATTTTAAATGGACAATTGAACTAATTAATAATAATGAGTAACAAATAATCGTGTACATATATGCCCCAACTAATAACCCATTTGCTATGTAATAAGCTATTTGATATGTAATAAGCATAATTATTATTCTTTTTTTATTGTATCTGTTTAATTAAGTAGACCGCAGACACAATATCTGAACCGTGTTAACCAATTTAATTTTAAGAAGGAAAAAAAATTAAAGAAAAGAAGAAAACGATGAGTACATTAATTTAGGTACCACATACCATGCAACTTGAAACATGTTGGTTGGAGTGCATATGAAAGCAATTTTTGTCGCAAGCCGTAATAGGAAAAGTGAGAAAAGAGGATGCAGAAGGGGATCAAAACCAATCCTACCACAAGCACGACACACACAATTGCTTTGACCTTCGTCAAACAAATTATATGTGCCTTTGAACATCGAATATGTGAAAGTAAGACTAAACTGTAGCTCGGACCACGGAGAAATTAAAATTCGTCACGAGTTTTTTATGCGGTCGAGCAAATCATCATGCGTTTCAGATCAAAAAATTGGCTGTATATGAATGTTATATGAAAATTCAGAAGAGAAAAGTAGAGCCGGGAAAACGGGCCGAGCCCGTCGGGCCGGCCCTTTTAGGCCCTGAAATTATGAGGGCCGGGCTTGATATTTTTCTCTTAAAATGAAACATAAGCCCTGAAGGGCTGGCCCTGGAGGGCCGAGGGCTTAAAAGGGCCGGCCCTGGAGGGCCACGGGCCGGCCCTTTTAAGCCCTTTTATATTTTTTTTATTTTTAAAATTTTTTATATAATATTAATGTTATTAATTTTTTACATTGTTAATAATATTTCAAATATTTAGTTATTATTATCATTTTAAAAGTAAATTTAGTTTTAGATAATAATTTATCCAATTAAATTTTTAAAAAATGGGTTAATTTGGACTTTAATAATGATTTGATTTATATTATATGCGTTGATATTTTAAAACTATATATATATATTTGATAATAGAATATTTTTATACTTATATAACTTGTGATTTTATAATTTGAATTAGAAATTCATGAGTTTTAACAGCAATGTTTCTCACATTAAAGTAAAAAAATAGTTAGAGCAAAATTAAAAAATAAAATTCTTATAAAGAAGAAAAAATTGATATTTTGTTACGAAAGAAAAGTATACTTATGAAGAAAAGTAATTAATTATAGTGATGATGAAGTTTTAAAAGATTAATAATAGTGATTATTGCACAATTGCATTATAGATAAAACTTTTAGATGTTGTTATCTTGTTAATAAATGTTTTAGATGTGATGAATATTTATATATGATGATATTTTATATGTGACTTAATTTTATTCATATTTATGTCTTTATTAATAATTTCATTGATTATTTTTATAAAAAATATGATAAATATAAAAAATAGTATTTTTCTTAAACGGGCCAAAACCCACGGGCCGGCCCTGGACTGTAGAAGCCTAGCCTAGCAAATGGGGTATTTTTAAAATTCAGCCCTGGAGGGCCGGCCCTTTTAAGCCCGCCAGCCTGAAGGGCCGGCCCTGGAGGGCGGGCCGGCCCTGATTCCCGGCTCTAGAGAAAAGTATAAGAAATTAAAGCTATTAGTATAGTTTACCTTGGTTAGCCTCTGCACATTCGAGGGCTAAATCGATGGCGGACTTTTTGAAACCGACGACTGCAACCTTCTTTCCCTTGAGAAGTTTAGTGGCAGCTTCGCGATCAAGTTTGCAGTAATCGAGTGTGTGAAGAAGCTTTCCTTCAAATACTTCTGGCCCCTTGCTTCTTGGAAAACTCGGGATCTTTGCTACGTCTCCGTATTTTCCGTTGCACAACACTATAAACTCGAAGCCGTACCACTGAAAAACGAAGGACTCTAATCGTGATTAGTCTTAATTATCTCATACGTACGAGGATGTTGGAATTTTTGATGTCATATATAATTGTTTATACTCTAAATTTGATATTCATATTGAATTGGTGTAACTTGAAGGGGATGATATGAGAGATGATATCAATCAAAGTGGTGACATATTTTATACCACGACTTGGAGTACCGTCTAAAATTAAAACCCAAGTTTCAATCTAAAAAGAGGT